CATTATGTTGTGGCTTGTTATATTCCTTTGGCATGCCATATTTTTTTTATATCAATGTTGTCTTCTCTGGTATTCTTTTGTTCCTTTGGCTTGTCGTATGGCTGAACTAAGGCTCTCTTGACTTGAATACCTGCAGTGCAAAAATGTGATAAGCAAGCTTTGGAGGAGGATTGACAAAGAAGGTCATCAAATCATACCTAATATATCTTCTTGGTGGCGGAGGAATGAAAATTCCTCATTCAGAGGTCTGGCTAGTAGCACCCTGGACCTACAAAAAATTGAACAGCGAGTTGATGGATTCGAGTATGGTGCTGTAACTGAGTTCATAGCGGACATGCAACAGATGTTGAAAAGTGTGGTTCAGCACTTCAGCTATAGGCATGAGGTAGCCCTACATCAAACATTGTATCTTTGTTACATCTATTTTGTATTACCATTATGCTTCTACCTGTAATGGAACTCGAGGTTCATGTGTTAGCCTTAGAATATTAATCTATTCCATCTGCCTAAATGATGCAGGTCCGGATAGAGGCTGAGACCCTCCATAACTTATTTTTCAACATAATGAAGATTGCCTTCCCAGATTCAGACTTCAGCGAAGCTAAGAATGCGACGTCATTTTCGAATCCTGGAGGAGCTGCAAGTGGTGCTGCTGCCCCATCGTCAAAGCACACCGCATCAGTCCATAAGCGCAGAGCCAGTGCCAGTGAAGCAGAGCAGCATGGCTCGGGACATAGCAGGCATAATCAATCCAGCGAGGTCCCCAGCCGGCCCCACAGTTCCAGATCAGAGAGAGACCCCAGACATTCTGGGTCCGGCAGCAGGGAACAGCTCCAGGATGGTGCTGGTTTGTTGCACCCTAGCGATATGTTCATTGTTAAGAAGAAAAGGCAAGATCGGGCAAGGAGCAGCATTGGGTCCCCCTCTAGTTCAGGCCGAGCTGGACCTCTCTCGCCAGCCAACCCTGGGCGGCCAGGCCCAGTCCCCTCACCCAGAGGTGCGAGAACGCCGTTCCAAAGGGATCCACACCCATCTCAGCAGTCGATGCATTCTGCTGGATGGGGCGCGCATTCGGATCAAGGAGGAAGTTCGTCTGCACCCGGCATTGGAGACATCCAGTGGGCAAAGCCTGCCAAGAGACTGAGGACTGACACCGGCAAGAGGCGGCCGAGCCTAATGTGAGGATTCTTTGCATTGCGGTGTACATTCTCTGGCAACCTTGATTTGCCTGGCCTATGAAATGCGCGCTGCACTGGTGGGGGCTTATATTCGTGTCATTTTGGCACAACTGAGTTCGTTCTTGCATATATGAGCACCTACATGCTGGGGTTTTTGTTGTTGTGGACATGTGAAAAAAAAATGAGGGGGGTGTAGGGTTATTGTTCTTGTATGTTATTAGCTTCATAAATGTGTAAAGGGGAACTCTTATGTTGGTAGGTGGTGCAAACAACTAGAAAATGCATCCACGTAGCAATGAAGGCATTGGCGCAGCCGGCCTTGATAATAATTAGTTTATTTGTTCCCACATGTTTACCGTTCTTGCAGTCTGGGCGTGTGCATTTGAGTGAATCGTGTGCTTGTTTACACCGACCATCGTGCTCTGGGATTCCAATCTCCTGTTAACGGCCATGGCGTCAAGTTTTACCTCATTGTGTAGTGCCGGCACTTGGCCGATTAGTGGTCTGGTGACTGAAGAAAAGGAATGGTGTGCATCAGTTGCCGTATTGACATCATGATGCTTTCCAATCATCCAGTGCTGACGGGGTTACAGTGCTGGTACACGACATTTGGAGCACTGATGGATAGGAATTGGGGTTACTCTTTTCTGTCTCAAAAAGAATGTACATCTCATCTTGCATTTGAAGTACTCAAATTTTTTTCGTCCCAAAAAAAATGTACAGCTCATATTTCGAGGAGTTTTTTTTAGAAAAATAATATTAGATTTGTAAAAATAGTATATCACCAAAAAATAATGTATATCTCACCGTTAAAAATAGTATCAAAACTGATTCAGTGGTAGAATACGGTAGTTTTATAGGTGGGGAAGGTGGGGGGCGAAGGCAGGCGATCTACCGAATTGAATTATTGTACACGGGGCCGACTTTTTTCCTTGATCCATTCCAATTTCCAGTTATTAATATAACCAATATGTAGCTCATGCATGCATCCATCCATCTTTTGCAGCGATGCAACGGCCAGAAACGAAATGATATAGTACTAGCTATTAATAACCAAAGTCACAGCTGACGAGTGCACACGCTTTGCATAAACTCGACGACACAAATTGCAAACTCGATCAGCGCTTCAAATCAAATACATACATATGCATGCATGTCAACGACGACGATGCGTCGATGACGACCGATCGAGACGACATTGTTAAGAATATCCAATAGGATCACATAACCGTAATATCTGGTTGATTGATATCTCCTGAAGATTGGTTGTGCGCTCAGGCTTGGATTGCGGGTGAAGGCAAGTATTACGGCTTCGGTTAGATAGGATATGTATCTCCTGATTGATGTAATCTTGTGATGTAATCTAGAGTTACCAAAAGTAGTTAGCTTCTTCTTGTTGTACAAGTTGTACCGCCACGCCAGGAGCTCTTCCTGGCTATATTAACATGAAGCCGTTCCAACCATTTTCACAGACATCAGAGGATGGATGCACAATAAATAGTTGCATACGCATCTTGTGTTGTTCACTACTGCGTGTGAACAATCGGCCGGAGGGACGACAACAAATCGACATATATTCTCCAACTTGCATTTTTGTGTTTGCATTGATTGTGAAAAATCGATCGGGAGCGACGACGACATCATGTCTAAGGGGGTGGGGTCAATTAAACGAATGCAGAAGTCGTTTATTTGCAGCTCTGCTGGCTCTTGCAGTTTTTTACAGCCAGACGTGATGGTAATCGTGCTCCATATGCTGACGACGACGACCATCAGCACTACGTTCGGTCTACGGATGATAGCGACACAAACACCAGAGGAGGGCCGGGGACGACCCCACACACAGGAAGGAAAACCACTGAAAGTTTTAAAACTTTACGTTGAATTTTGAGTAAAGATTGAAAATCCGTACGAATCTCATCCGGCCGGTTAAAAACGAAATTACCGATGTGGATATTTACCGGATGGAGATCACCGGTAGGATCGAAAACCATCGCGAAATTCCAAACTATGTCATGGCTTGCTCGATCTGTAGCTGCCGACTTCCGTAGTCATGTGACCCTTTGAACTTATCAGGGTTGTCAAACGCCGTTTTATAAGATAAGCTAACTATATATGATGATCAATACTGTCGAAGTGCATGCACTATGTACTTACATAATTATATAGTGCTACTTCTCAATGATGATCCTTTCCTTGATTAATTCTTGGTTCGATCGTCTACAAATTAACAAGCTGTTGCTTTCAAGGCCATTTGACGATTGAACCAATTAATTAAAGATGTAATGCATGTTTCATAATTATCCTGTTTAGCAGCTGTTTGTGTTGTTACATATGCTACATCTATCCAAACTAGTTGGTCCAAGTTTCACAAACCTTCTTTTTCTAATGAAATTTTGCAAATAAACTTGGTTGACAGACAGGTGTACGTACGTATATGTACTTTTTCTTTACTTATTACAAGTTGGCAGTTGGCAGTAGTGTACAGTCTTGGTAAGTTGCCGACAGGCCCATAGTTTTATTTCTAGCGGCGCTCGCTCTTTTCGAACAGCCGGTGAAAGAAAAGTGTGGCGCCAAGAGAAAGCACCGATGTACTGGTGATTGCAGCTAGCTGGAGGAGCACCGATTTCATGATACTTTTAACACATACACACGGTAACTAATTTAGGAAACTGACAACTGATACAGACATATAAAATTGCATTATGCAGATACAGTATGTATGAATAATGAAACTTGTTGGGCATAGCAGCTAGCTAGCCAGTTTAAGTTTTTGCCGATCGTCATCTTGAGTTGACCAGCAGTATGTATGGGCATTTTTACTTTATTTCGCTTTGTCTGCTGCTGCTGGATTCTGGACGCCGCATCACCAAAAAGTCTAGCTACCAATAAGAAGATTCTGATCCTTGGGTGATCCCACGGGATAAGGCCAAGCCCACCAAGGTCATATTCCTCTTCCGGTGATGCGGCGACGAGGAATCCATTTCTTTCCTAACAATATACTACTAATCTCCAGGCATTCTCTCTGCTAATTATCTATGCCAGATAACGACTTCCCACATCTCTTTGATTTGCCTGTTCCAGTTCCAGCTTTCAACGTGTTTCCTCTTCCAGCAATCCAGCTAGCCAATCTTAGATTAACGCTGCACTGATGACTCCGTCAGATCCAATAATTGCCTTGTTAATTCAGCTCAGCTGAGCTTGAAGCTTATTGATATGACCCTTCATGTCCATGACCGGCACAGCAGCTTAATCTTTCTTTCTTTTTCGTTTTTCCTTTTCCCAGGCCAGGCTCGAGAGTGATCGAGATGCCCAAAATGTCAACCATGCACCCCACCCCAGCTCACTATAAATACGTACCCCAACGATGCTCATCCTCAACCTCAAGCACAAGCAGCTACCTAGCTCCAGTAAGCAACAACCAAACTGCTCTAGCTCTACTGCAGGATCAAAAGCACTAGCAATGGCGTCGGGCATGGAGGCCGTTGGCGCGCCTGGGAGCTCGCTGCACGGGATGACGGGTCGGGAGCCGGCGTTCGCCTTCTCCACGGCGGCGCCAGAGGAGCACGACGACGCTGTGGCGAGCAAGTTCGACCTGCCTGTGGACTCGGAGCACAAGGCGAAGAGCATCCGTCTCTTCTCGTTCGCGAACCCGCACATGCGCACCTTCCACCTCTCCTGGATCTCCTTCTTCACCTGCTTCGTCTCCACCTTCGCCGCGGCGCCCTCGTCCCCATCATCCGCGACAACCTCAACCTCACCAAGGCCGACATCGGCAACGCCGGGGTGGCGTCAGTGTCGGGCTCCATCTTCTCCCGTCTCGCCATGGGCGCCGTCTGCGACCTGCTGGCCCCGCGCTACGGCTGCGCCTTCCTCATCATGCTGTCGGCGCCCACCGTGTTCTGCATGTCGCTCATCGACGACGCCGCGGGCTACATCGTCGTCCGGTTCCTCATCGGCTTCTCCTCGCCACCTTCGTCTCCTGCCAGTACTGGATGAGCACCATGTTCAGCAGCAAGATCATCGGCACCGTCAACGGGCTCGCCGCGGGCTGGGGCAACATGGGCGGCGGCGCCACGCAGCTCATCATGCCGCTGGTGTACGACGCCATCCGCAAGTGCGGCGCCACACCATTCACGGCGTGGCGGCTCGCCTACTTCGTCCCCGGGCTGATGCACGTCGTCATGGGCGTGCTGGTGCTCACGCTCGGACAGGACCTCCCCGATGGCAACCTCAGGACGCTGCAGAAGAAGGGCAACGTCAACAAGGACAAGTTCTCCAAGGTCATGTGGTACGCGGTCACCAACTACCGGACCTGGATCTTCGTCCTCCTCTACGGCTACAGCATGGGCGTCGAGCTCACCACCGACAACGTCATCGCCGAGTACATGTACGACCGCTTCGACCTCGACCTCCGCGTCGCCGGCACCATCGCCGCATGCTTCGGCATGGCCAACATCGTCGCGCGCCCCATGGGCGGCATCCTCTCCGACATGGGCGCGCGCTACTGGGGCATGCGCGCGCGCCTCTGGAACATCTGGATCCTCCAGACCGCCGGCGGCGCCTTCTGCCTCTGGCTCGGGCGCGCCAGCACCCTCCCCGTCTCCGTCGTCGCCATGGTGCTCTTCTCCTTCTGCGCGCAGGCGGCCTGTGGCGCCATGTTCGGCGTCATCCCCTTCGTCTCGCGGCGCTCCCTCGGCATCATCTCCGGCATGACCGGCGCCGGCGGCAACTTCGGCGCGGGGCTCACGCAGCTGCTCTTCTTCACCTCCTCCACCTACTCCACCGCCAGGGGGCTGGAGTACATGGGCATCATGATCATGGCGTGCACGCTGCCCGTGGTGTTCGTGCACTTCCCGCAGTGGGGGTCCATGTTCTTCCCGGCCAGCGCCACCGCCGACGAGGAGAGCTACTACGCCTCCGAGTGGAACGACGACGAGAAGAGCAAGGGACTCCACAGCGCCAGCCTCAAGTTCGCCGAGAACAGCTGCTCAGAGCGCGGCAAACGCAACGTCATCCAGGCCGACGCTGCCGGTACGCCGGGGCACGTATAAGTTTAAGACGTACACGCTGGACCGGAGCACGTCTTTAAAACAATCAGACAAGTAAGGATGTGAGCTTAATCAAACCTTACTGTTGTACTACAGTTGCTGAGCTGCAGCTCAGTGAGAGGGATTTTCTTTTTCTTGCAGCTAATTGTGTCTCAGATGTAATGTTGCTGAGATGGTTATTATATATATACATCTAAATGTACTTGAGCATCGTCTACAGACTCCAACCCCCTCTCTATCCTAAGCAAAATGTCTTAAAAACCATCTCTAACCCACTCGCTATTTTTGAGGGCTCCTGTCTCATCGCCTCACTTTGCACAAACTACTCATATGTCATAACTACTCACGCTCCATATCTAAACTATAGACACCTGATATGTGGGACCCATCCTGTATCGTGAGCTTGGACTCTAAAAATGAGAGAGAGCATGAGATGGATGGCCGACAAGTGGAACTAGCAAAAAAAAAAAGTAGTGTATAAAGGGACTAATTAGAGAGTTAGGAGGGGTGCAGAAAATTTACGGTTTGTCGGTATTGCTGGCCATGCTCCATAAACAAACTCTTGGGATGATGTTGTTGTTTTTATTTTTACACGCAGAACTTCTTTCGTTATTGTCAAAGTGTCAATGTTAGCTTTAAATTGTTCATTTTTACTAGTATGAGAGTCTGGCGATGGTAACTTCCTCAAACGGACAAATCCAAGGGTAGCACACTAGATCTGTCATATAAACTACTTGAGCAAGTCTTGTACTCCTACGTACATTTTGTCTATGTACGCACATATTTATAGAAAATACAAATAGTTAACCGAATGAGAAAAACAACAACCTTGTCATATACATTTAAAACGGACAACAGCATTAAAGATGCTCTCATCACCAAGTCAAAATAAAACGGCTGAAATGGTCTTCTTATATCTACTCGGAATAGACCTCTGTAAGCGGCACCAAACTTTAATTTGTCTCTAGTAAAAATGCAACCCACATCCATGTGTACAGTACGTCAGCGCGCCTATCCGTACAAGAAGCTAAGCAATCGTGTGTCCGTGTTCGAATTTATATGCATGCGATTTATTTTATATGGACTCTAATGTATGTTATTTGTTCGAGTCTATCCACCTGACTGTCATGTGTTTTATACAGTTTTAACACATGACGGCACAAATCACAAATCATATGAAACATTTTTTTTCTATGAAAGGACAAAGACAAAATTTGGGTGACGGCGCCAGAGTTAGGGAAGAAAGCTTGCCAGAGTTGGGAAGATTCCGGGCGCGATGGCAGCGCGGGCACGGATCGAGCGCTGCGTAGGGGCGGCGGCGGAGGTTAGGCTTGGGGGCCACGGCGAAGGTCCGGCAGCGGGCCTCGGGGGTAGTGGCGGAGGTCTATAATTTCATGTGTTCACTTAATAATTTTGTTAGACCTAAGGTGTTTTTCTTCTAAAACTCCTGTGAAACTTAACTTTGAGTTTATCTTAGACTACCTGGCCAGACCTTAACTAATTAACACATTCTGTGACATATACATAATGGCAAAACCAAAATTCAGCTAAGTATAACTGTCGAGTACCAGAAGCATTCAAACAAAACTTTGAGATACCAACGATTGGAGGCAGCCCAAAGTCCATGGAAAAGTTGCATTATATTAAACAAACAGTGAAACAGCTTGGGAGGACAGCTCAGGATCTTGTTGGAACTGATCAATCCACAGACCACATCCTATCCAGTGGCTTATCAGTCATGACATGATTGAGCAACATGAAGAGCCAGATGAAATGTGCAATTGGAGATATTAATTGCCCGGCCCAATCAAATGACAACTAGTTTGTGGCTAGCAAGCGAACAAGAGAGGCTGCAGTGGGTCAGATAGGCAAAGTCAAATGAACTATATATGGGGTGCATGAACAATAATAATACAAGATCATTGTATATATACCTGACAGGTGAGAGCGACACCAGTGATAAGTACATTTGTGTCGACATATATGTGTGTGTATACCTAGCTTGCAGATAAGTATAAGTGGACATCAACAATGCCATACTGGAGGTCGTGCATGGTAAAGAATCAGCTGGGAGAAACATTATGACGAATTCAAAGGTACATTTAGATATTTTTAATGAAAATCATCAATTAATTGGGCTCGTACCCTAAGTGTGTGCTCTTGGATCACTTGAACAAGAAAAAACTTTCTTGAAAGTGTCAAGGACAAATTAAATGGGGAATGAAACGTTGGAATGCAAGCAAATATTACGTGACGGTGGAGAGATGGAGAGGCGGCGACGGGGACGGGCGGCGCACGGCAGTGGGGGGATGGAGGGGCGGCAGCGGCAGTAAGGGAGACAATGAGACAGGGGGAGATGGAGATGGAGTCAGGGAGGACTGGCACACGGCGGTGGGTGCGGTGGCTGGGGTCGCGGTGGGCGGGAGCGCCGGGCGGGGCGCATCTGGCGCAGGCGCGCTGGGCGGTGCGCGACGGGCGTGGTGGCCGCGGGCTCGCCGTTCGGGCGCGGCATGGTGGCGGCGTGGCGGGCAGGAGCGTCGGGCGTGGGCGCCGCGGGCTCACCGGACGGGGGCGGCTGCGGCGGGCGGGAGTGGTGGCGGCCGCGGGCTCGCCCGGCGTGGTGGTGGCGTGGCGGCGGGCGCAGGGCGGCTCATGGCGCGGCTCCTCTCTCCAGCCGGTTCAAACGGGCCGAGTGAGACAGAGAGAAAGGGAAGCGAGGCCGGGTACATGGGGCTGCCGCGCCCTGATGCATCAGCCCCGCGCCGTTTATGGTGTGATAATCTTGGCGCAAAGTACCTATCGGCTAACCCTATATTTCATGCACGCACCAAGCATATAGAGATCGATTTTCATTTTGTACGCGAACAAGTTGCAGCAAAGCGCCTGGATATCAGATTCATCAGCACTACGGATCAGATCGCCGATGGCTTCACTAAGCCTCTTCCAGAGAAGCAAATGGTCATGTTCAGAGACAATCTCAACCTCGCTGATAAGTTGTGATTGAGGGGGGATGTTAAGAATATCCAATAGGATCACATGACCGTAATATCTGGTTGATTGATATCTCCTGAAGATTGGTTGTGCGCTCAGGCTTGGATTGCGGGTGAAGGCAAGTATTACGGCTTCGGTTAGATAGGATATGTATCTCCTGATTGATGTAATCTTGTGATGTAATCTAGAGTTACCAAAAGTAGTTAGCTTCTTCTTGTTGTACAAGTTGTACTGCCACGCCAGGAGTTCTTCCTGGCTATATTAACATGAAGCCGTTCCAACCATTTTCACAGACATCAGAGGATGGATGCACAATAAATAGTTGCATACGCATCTTGTGTTCACTGCTGCGTGTGAACAATCGGCCGGAGGGACGACAACAAATCGACATATATTCTCCAACTTGCATTTTTGTGTTTGCATTGATTGTGAAAAATCGATCGGGAGCGACGACGACATCATGTCTAAGGGGGTGGGGTCAATTAAACGAATGCAGAAGTCGTTTATTTGCAGCTCTGCTGGCTCTTGCAGTTTTTTACAGCCAGACGTGATGGTAATCGTGCTCCATGCTGACGACGACGACCATCAGCACTATGAAGCTCCAGCGTTCGGTCTACGGATGATAGCGACACAAACACCGGAGGAGGGCCGGGGACGACCCCACACAGGAAGGAAAACCACTGAAAGTTTTAAAACTTTACGTTGAATTTTGAGTAAAGATTGAAAATCCGTACGAATCTCATCCGGCCGGTTAAAAACGAAATTACCGATGTGGATATTTACCGGATGGAGATCACCGGTAGGATCGAAAACCATCGTGAAATTCCAAACTATAATGTCATGGCTTGCTCGATCTGTAGCTGCCGACTTCCGTAGTGATGTGACCCTTTGAACTTATCAGGGTTGTCAAACGCCGTTTTATAAGATAAGCTAACTATATATGATGATCAATACTGTCGAAGTGCATGCACTATGTACTTACATAATTATATAGTGCTACTTCTAAATGATGATCCTTTCCTTGATTCATTCTTGGTTCGATCGTCTACAAATTAACAAGCTGTTGCTTTCAAGGCCATTTGACGATTCAACCAATTAATTAAAGATGTAATGCATGTTTCATAATTATCCTGTTTAGCAGCTGTTTGTGTTGTTACATATGATACATCTATCCAAACTAGTTCGTCCAAGTTTCACAAACCTTCTTTTTCTAATGAAATTTTGCAAATAAACTTGGTTGACAGGCAGGTGTACGTACGTATATGTACTTTTTCTTTACTTATTACAAGTTGGTAGTAGTGTACAGTCAGACCTTGCTAAGTTGCCGACAGGGCCACCGTTGCTGACTGTGAAATTTGTAAATTCTTTGCTGATATATATCCCATTCTCCCTACGACAGACATACAAATGATGTCCAAGTTCCTACAAATACTCACTAGTGACGGATTATGTTTTTTGTCTCTGAAAAAAAAAGATTTTTACCGTTGGTTTTGTGGCTAAGAACCATCAGTAGTAATCAAATTAATGCATGGAAACTGCAAATTTAGGTTCCTAAACTTTTTAAATACCCCAATCCTAGTCTAAAGCATCCATATAGCGGCAAAAATTGGTTGACATATATGGCGTTCCGGCGTGTAATTAACCTATATGTGCATCCATAACCTATAATTACACTGTCAGTCCCTACTACTATGACGTGATTCTCGTAGAAGAGTACCTAGGTACATGATGACTCAGAATGACAGCAATTCATTCTGGGCAGCTTATATGGATCGACACTGTCTCAGGTTGCTTCCTGTATATAGTTGACGAGCTGTATTAGCTCATTTTAGACGGTGTGCATGGATGCAAGTTGTTCTTGGTGTCCAACTGTCCATGCAACAGACACGCTGAAGAACCTCATTAGGCAACGGTGAAAGGGTGTCTTCTGGCTTTTGGATGGAGGCAGCCGCAATTTCTTATCCTTTTGGCTTTTGTCATCGTTATTAGGCATCAGCATCAGCTGCTGTATT